TCGCCCCGTGGCGCGCGGGTCGAGGCGGGCTGCAGGCTCGGCTTGCCTGGCGGCGCGGGGCAGGGATGGGGGGGAGGAGGCGGGCGCCCCAGACCTTCACCGCGCCCGAGCCAGTGCCGCACCGCCACCCTTCCTCGCTCTCCCTTCTCTCTCCTCTCCTCAGAGGCGACGACAGGGGCGAATAGCCCAGGGGAGAGCAGTACATGTACCCAGGGGCGCCGATGATTTATGTCTTCGACAGGGCTCCTGGGCGAATACATGTAATGCCCGCCCCTGGGCTGTTTGCCCTGATCGTCGCCGCCGATCTCCTCATGTCAGGTGTCCCCCCTCTTCCCTCTTCCTCTCGCCTGCTGTCTCTCTGCAGCAACTGCTCTACGTACTTCTTTCCGGCCGGCGACTCCTGGAGCGACCCCTCCAGGAGTCGCCCGGCTCCCAGCTTGATCGCCCCCCCCCACCCAGGGCCGACCAGCCCCGGGGGGGGGGGACTGGTCGCGTGCAGCGGACTCACAGACCTTCAGTGCCTCAGTGTCTCGGCCCCAGACACGCGACGTCCTGACCTTTTTCCATGCGCGGTCCCCCGAAGTCTCGACCATTTCCCTGGGGCCGGTTTTTCATCCCGGGTCGTGTTTGGACGGTCCTGGAGACTGGCGAGGGCCCCCAGGGGCCGAAAACGACCACAAACCTGACGCCGCGGTTTTGTTTCACGACTTGAGCATGTTTGGGGCTGGGGCTTCATGGGGGAAGCTTTTGCTTGTTGGCTCGGGCGCGCGCCCGCGCCTCCTCGCCGCCTCTCGGCTCCTCGTCGTCGTCGTCGTCGTCGTCGTCGTCGTCGTCGTCATCGTCGTCATCGTCGTCGTCGTCGTCGTGGTCATGGGTGGCCATGCGCCTCCCCGCCGCCTCTTGCGGCTCCTCCGGCGCCGCCGCTCCCCGGCAGTTGTTAGACCGGCGCACGTCGCACAGGGAGCCCCTGCCAGACGCGCTCGGTCTTGAGATCTCGAGCCTCGAACCTCCAACCTCGATCGGTCGATCGGTCGATCCTCGATCCCAGACCCCCTAGCGTGGCGAAAATATCACGACGGGAGATTTTTCACCATGTTCGGCCTCTCGGGGCCCTCGCCAGGCCTCGGGACCGTCGAAAAACGACGCAGGATGAGAAGCCGGCTCCGGGGAAGGGGCTGGGACTTCCAGGACCCCGCAGGGACAACATCACGACACGCGGTCCCGCTTAGGATTACGAGACCTCCCCCTCCACAAGCTGGCTCAGCGTTTCTTGACCAACCTGCCGGAGAGCTGGCTCAGTTTCTCGAGGGGATGGGTAGCCTTGGACCCCAGAAATGAGTCGTGCACGTTCCTGGCTCCAGAAGTGGGTCCAGCGTTTCCTTGAGAGCCTTCCGACAAGCTGGCCCAGCTTTCTCACCACCCACCAAACCACCCCAACCCAACCCGAAGGCTCAGATTTACCCTCGATTTCTAGTGGGGGGGGGTCCGGGAACATCGAACAAAAACACATCTGGAGCCCATGCCCCCCCCAACCCGAAATTCGGATCTTCGGGTTGGGTTGGGGTGGTCTGGTAGGTCATTGATAATATTCTCTTAACCCTATTTTTGGCTGCAGGACCTCTGGGATCCTCGATCCTCGATCGACCGATCGGTCGGCCCAGGGCGCTGCAGGTTCTTCCGCGCTGGTCGTCTGCGCCAGGCGTCGGGCCCCTGCTGGAGGCGTTCGGCCCTGAGACCCAGGCGCTGGCAACTCTTCACGCCGAGCGTCTCCGCCCGGCTTCGGGGCTCGAGTTAAGTCGGGCCTGTCCCTCTACAGGAGGAGTATTCAAAAATAGTTTGAACATAGTTTTGGGACTATTTTGTGAGTCTTTTTTGACCCTTTGGGAGTTTTTCTTGCATATTCTTTATTATTCATCCGAAATCCCCCTGTAGGGGGACGCGCCCGACTTCAGGCCGAGCGCCTCCGCCCGGCTTCGGGGCCCGAGGCTTCTGGCAGCCTTCGCCGGTCCGCGCGGCCCTTCCCGGCCACGGGATATATTCAGGAGGAAAAAACACAGGCACAATTCAGCGTCGGTCCCCAAGCACATAGGATGGGAAAATATGGGAACGGGGCCGGAAGACAAAAACCCAGAAGATACAGGAGAATAGGGGGAATCTTCTTCTTTGTGTGTATTTCTTTGTGTGTCCCAGGGCCCCTTCCTATATGCTCTCCCGCAGCCGCGCCCCGCCGAGGGCTTTTTTTTTTTGCTGAGAGTGCCCGTGGTCCTCCCGAGCGGCCGCCGGAGACCCGAGGCACGGCCCGAGCACGGGAGCTCGGGCCGGGCGCAAGGGGGGGGCAAGGGAGAGGGTCTAGGCTTCCTAGATGGGGTCGGAGTAGATGGGGTCGGAGTACCGCGCCGCATCGTCGATGCATCTGCGATGCATCAGCGATGTGGAGCCCGATTTTCTCCACATCGACGTCGCCGATGCATCGCCGACGTCGACGATGCATCGCCAGTGCATCGCCGATACATCGTCGATGCATCGCCGATGTATCGGCGATGCGGCACGATCCTCCGACCCCATCTACTCCGACCCCATCTAGGAGGCCTCTAAAGGGGGGGATCGGAATCTGACACCATGCCAAAACGACGCGAAGATCGGGACGAAATTGGATCGGGAGAACTCGAAATCTCTGAGAACCGGCGGGTTTGGGGGATGTATTGGGCGCCGCGGCCGCTCTGAGAGCGTTCCGGAACGCTCTGGAGCGATTTATCCCGATCCTAGCCCCGTTTTAGATTCGGAATTGGATGCCCGCTGCGAACACAGGCCGAGGGCACGTGAGCTGATTGAAGGAGTCGCCACACCAGTGCTATCCTCAGCTGGGAGGTTTTGAGCACCCACCTCATGTCAGCAAGTCCCCAGCCCTGCCAGGCCCTGCCCTCTACGATCCCCCCCTTTCGCCCGTCCCGAGAAGAGGGGGGGAGGGGCCCTAAGTCAGGAGGGAAAGAAACACACAGACACAATTAATCCTCGATCCCCAGGAAAATATGGGAAAATATGGGAAGTGGTGGGGAAGACAAAAACCTAGAAAATATGAGAAAATATGGGGGATATTTTTATTTGTGTGTATTTATTTGTATGTCCTAATTCCCCTTTACTAAGACCCGGGCGTTGCAGTGTTTCATGCCAGGCGTGTTCGCCGGGTGTCGAGCCCCTGTGCCGTCACGGGTGGGTCTGGCTCGACGACTGCCGCGGGGAGACGGAGTTTGGGTACGGTAGGTTCGCGTCGTGTCGACCCGCGGCGACCCCCGCCCGCGGCGTTTAACGTTGAATGCCGCCGGCGACCCAGAATCGGTCGATGTTGAACGATTGGACGTTGCGGGAACGGCCGATCGTTCAAGGTTGAACGATCCCCGCGGTGTCAGAAACCAACGCTGGGGTCGACACGACGCGAACCTGCCGTAGGGACTTGGTCGTGGTCTTTCGCGACGGTGCAGCTCTTTCACCCGCGGGAATCAGGAGGGGAAAGAGCACAGACACAATGAATCGTCGGCTCCCAGGAAGATCTGCGAAGATATGGGAAGTGGTGGGGGAGACGAACAGCAAGAACAGATGGGATGATATGGGGGATCCTTGGATTTGTGCGTACTTCTTTGTGTGTCCTCGCGTCTCGCCCTCGGCGCAGGGGTGGCGGGCCGGCCGGCGGAGGCGGAGCGGCGGCGGGGTCCGCCGGCGAGAGGTCGGCGAGGGGGTCGACTAAGGGGGCCACGTGCGAACCCTACCCCTGCCCCCCACGACTTCTGAGGGGGAGGGTGGGGTTCACTTCAGTCGTGGGGGGTAGGGGTAGGGTTCGCATCCCCCACCCCCCCCTTCCGTGGACGGCGGGTCGGCCGGAGTCTGCGACCGCGCTCGAGCCCTGAGCGTGCGGGTCCAAGCGGCGCTGGGGCATCCGACGCCCTCGCCGGGGTTCACTGGGCTGCGTGCATCCTTCAGGCTCTGGGCCAGCAGCTTTTTTCTCAGAAGTCTGACCTGCAGGGGCATGGCTTACATGCGGTTGCCTACGGAAGTGGTGGCCCGGGCTCGGGCCAGTCAGGGCAGGCAGGTTCAGGGGGCTCATGGCCGACGCAGGGAATCGAGTGTGCTTCTGGCTTATGGAGAGGGCGTCGGTGACCCACCCGCGCCTGAGCACAGGCCAGAGCAGGCAGACAACTCTACGGATGGGGGCTCCACCTCACGGTTCGGTTGTGCTTACGTGCGTTGTCTGTGCGATTCGGGCCTGGTTAGCGCTGCGATTCGGGCCTGGTTAGCGCTCGCGCTGGCATGTGATACGCGAGATCTCACCGTCGTTGTTGTATTATCTCTCTATCTCTCTGATGTTTTGAAGTCTCGTCTTCGTCCATTCGGCTGGACAGTAAGGATGTTGATGCATCTCTCGATATTGTGGGACGTGCTGTAACCTTGCACCGCTCCGCTGATCGTGAGTGTCGTTGTTTTCGAACCGACCACCGATACCGCCCTTAAGCGCGACACGCTAACCACTTGCCCATTTCCAAGTGTCAACGTCCCGAGCCTCTCCGAGCCTTTCACCGCGCGGAGCCGCGCGACACGCTCTCCGCTTGCAAGGCATAGCGTGTCGCCGGGCTCCTCGCTCCTCGCTCCTCGCCCTCGCTCCTCGCTCCTCGCTCCTCGCGCCTCGCTCCTCCTCCTCCTCCTCCTCGCTCCTCGCGCCTCGCTCCTCGCTCCCGGCTCCTCGCTCCTCGCCCCTGCCGCGCCCACTGGCCGCCGTGGCCGCGAGCCCGCCCTCCCCCCCCCCCCGCCGCCCCGAAGGGGTCAGCTCGCCGTCGCGGCCGCCCCTCGCTCGCGCCGTGGCGCGCGGGGGGGGGGGGAGGCGGGCTGCAGGCTCGCGCTGCCGGGCGTGGGCGCCACCCCGGCATGCCCAGACCCCCTCGCGTGGGGCACGAATCGCGACGGGAGGTTTTTCGCTACGTTCGGCCTCCGGAGGTTTTTTCGCGGTTTTTCGCTACGACTCGCGACGGGAGGTTTTTCGCTACGAATCGCGACGGGAGGTTTTTTCGCGACGTGAGGTTTTTCGCTCCCGGGGCCCTCTCCGGGCCCCCGGGAGCGTCGGAAGAGGACTCAGGATGCCAAGCCGGTCCCAGGGAAGGGGTCCAGACCTCTGGGGGTCGACGTTGCGGCAAAACTCACGACGTCGGGGGTCTGGGTGCGGCTCCACCGAGGTATCAGGTCGAGGCCGTTTCGGCGAGGGTCCCCTTATGCTCTTCGTGTTTGTTGCATGTTCTCGGTTGTTTAGTTCTGTGTGCGTTTTGGCCGGCGGAGGGTCTCGTGTTCTTGCAAGGATGTTCTGCGGTCCTAGGTCCGACCGTACCAGGGGGTGTTCACGGTTCGGTCGGTTCGATTGCGTCGCAGTCGGTCGCGTTCGGTCGGTTCGTTTCGGTCGGTTATGGTGTCGTTGCCGCGTCGCTGCGCCCTTGTAGGCTGTTTTCGTCCAATCGATTAATGTCGGTTTCGGTTTCGCTGTCGGTTCGGTTTTGCTGTCGCTGTGCACGGCCTTGCTCATAATGGCAGGCCTCCCAGATGGTGTCCGAGCAGATGGTGTCGAAGGATCGCGCCGCTTCGCCGATGCATCGCCGAGGCGGGTCTATGTGGATTCAGAGTTTCTCCACGCCGATGGCGCCGATGCATCGCCGACGTCGCCGATGCATCGGCGATGCCGCGCGATCCTCCGACCCCATCTGGGCGACCTCAAGACATACCAATGCTATGTGCGCGTCGCCTCCCCCCCCCCAGTGGCGACGCGCGCACCGAGAGATCTTTGAAGTATATCTTTCGTGGCGGGCGCTTTCTGGTCTTTCCGCTCGGGAGGCGATGTGCTACAATACGGCCGTACTACGTGCTCGGGTCGGACGCGCGCCCCCGAGGAGGACACATGGTACTGGCACGTCCTCGTGCGTCTCGGAGGGGGACTGAGCAGCCCTGAGATCTGGGCGCTGCACTGCTTCACGCCAGGCGCTTTCGTCCGGGGTCGGGCCGGGCCCCGGGACCATCACAGGGCCGTCTGGCCCGAGAAGTGCCGCAGGAGACGTGGTCTGTAGGGCTCCGGTTGCGATTTTTCCGCGGCGCCGCACTTTCTCGCAGCGCCGGATCTGAGGCGGACGGGAAGGGAGGCTGGTGTGGGAGGGCGGTAAGGAGCACCCGTGCGACCCAGGGAGACGGCAGCAGGGAGGCCGGGGGGGAGGGAGGGAGGGACAGAGCACTGCGCCTGTCAGAGCGGCGGACAGGCCTCCGCCGCCAGCGTCGCCAGGGCGCCTGCGGGCAGGGGAGGGCAGGGTGGGCTGGGATTGGGCACTCCCCCGCGGGGTGTTCTGCCGCCTGGATGTCCGAGGCCTCGTCCGTCGTCCGCTGGCTTCGGGTCGCAGCTCGGGGCGCGCCGAGCAGGACGGGCGGGCAAGAGACGGCAGGCAGGCGTCGGGGGGGGGGGGGCGGAAGAGAGGGAGCCCGCGTGGGGCCACGAGGTCCCGCGGCCACGGGAGGCGGGTCTCGGGCCCCCTCCTCTCTTCCTCCTCCCCCTATCCTCCTCCTGCTCCTCCTCCTCCTCCTCCTCCTCCTCCTCCTCCTCCTCCTCCTCCTCCTCCTCCTCCTCCTCCCCCTCTGGGACCGTCAAGTCTCTGCACGAACGAAATGGGTGCGGAAAGAATGGGTGCAATGCCCAACAGCAGTTCCTGCTCATTCTGAAGTCGCCGCGGCCTGTGTCCATCTGAGACAGGAGGCCGCCCGCCCAACAGCGGCCGCTGCTGGTTTGGGGCAAGATTTGTTGTTGGGCTCTGTGCCCACTCTTTCCGTACCCATTTCGGGCGTTCCAAAAGTCGGCTCGGGCTGGCCCCGGACCAAAACGGCCGGGAGGCCGGGGGGCCCCTGCCTGGGAAGAGGCGCGCTGCCAGACCCCTGGGGAGGGGCCGTCTGCGAGAGCTGGTGCGCGGAGTCGTGGCACGTCGACCCCTAGGAAAATAGGGGGAAATAGGGGAAGTGGGGGGGGAAGACAAAAACTCGGAACATATGGGAACCTATGGGGAATTCTGTTATTCGTGTGTATTTATTTGTGTGTCCCAGGGCCCCTTCCTTTTACTCGCCACGGCCCTCGCGCCGGGGAATGGATTTCCCTGGTTCGGTGTTGCCCGTCGGTCGTTGAAAGTAAGTATTTGTTTGATGCCCAAGTCCAACTCTACTTCAGGCGCCTCCCTGCTTTTAGAGAGTCGAGTGGTGCTCCCTCCTCCCGCCTCTTCCAGGGGCGGGCGGAAACCCAAAAGCACTCTCGGCGCCTTCCGACTTGCTGCTTCGACCCACTTCTTCCGACCGACGGCTACCCCTGTGCAGTGTTACCGTGCTTTTTTTTTTTCTCCGCGCAAATATTTTGGAGAGGGGAAGGGAGGGCAGAGGAGAGGACGCGAATCGACGATGAGCAATGCCCCACGCTTCTCACTCGGTGCAGTCTGCGACTACTGTCGAAAAGCGCCAGAGACGAGGTGACACGTGCGGACAAACCCTGACATGGCAGATTCCCGCCTCCGCCGTGTTACCGTGCTTTGACCGGGGGCGAGCTCTGGCCTGCACCCCACGGGTGCGCCGCGCTCGCCAAGGCGGGAAGTGCTCCGAGGAGGCGCTTTCCCCCGAGAGGCCCTCGGCGTGCCGCGCGCCCCCGGCGGGAGCACGGCGGGAGCCGGCGGGAGCACGGCGGAGGCGGCTGCGCCGGCAGCAGCCGGCAGAGGTGCGGTGGCCTGGCATCCCTCGGACGTGTGCATCTTTTCTCGGCGAGGGCCATCGAGGAGTATCTTTGATCATGTAGCGAATCGCCCCAGTGCGACCCTGCCCAGAAGTTGGAGCCCCCTATGAAAGCAGCGTCAATTGCTATGCTGTGCTATGCCATGCCATGCCATGCTATGCTGCGCTATGCTATGCTATGCTGCGCTATGCTATGCTATGCTATGATATGCCATGCTATGCTACGCTGCGCCATGTTATGCTATGCTGCGCTATGCTATGCTATGCAATGCTATGCAATGCTATGCTATGCTATGCTATGCAATGCTATGCTATGCTATGCTATGCTATGTTTGGCTGTGTTGTGCTATGCTATGCTATGCTAATGCAGCGCTGCGCTATGCTATGCTAAGCTAAGCTAAACTAAGCTAAGCTAAGCTTGCTTTGCTTTTGCTTTTGCTTTGCTTCGCTTTGCGTTGCTTGTGCTTTGCTTTGCTGTCGCTGCTGTTGCTTTGCCTTTGCTTTGCTGCTCTGCTATGCTATGCTCTGCTCTGCTCTGCTCTGCTATGCTATGCTGCGCTGTGCTATGCTATGCTCTGCTAATGTTATGTTATGCTGCGCTATGCTGTGCTATGCTGGGCTATGCTATGATATGCTGTGTTGCGCTATGCTATGCTACGCTGTGCTATGCTATGCTGTGCTCTGCTATGCTAAAACTCAGCGAAGCTAAGATGAAGGTAAAGTAAGCTACGATAAACCTGAGCTAAGATGAAGCTACACTAAGCTAAGATGAAATCAGCTAAGCTAAGATGAGATAAACGACGCTAAGCTACGGGGACGTAACTGGGGGAACCGCGGGGCGGATCCTGGGGGAACCGCCTGGGGCGTTTTTCACTGCCTGGCCCCTTTAAGCTACAGGGTAAGAACCCTTCTAGGCAGAGCCTAGGTAGGGAAAAAGGCACGCACGAAATCGAAACATGCACGGGGAATGGACGTCCGAGCGATGGCGAGGTGGGGGCACTCGTGAATCGGGTGTGCGTGAGGGGACCCTTCGCGGGCGCGCAGGGGTCCCGCCAGCGCTGGCTGGCGCAGCGGGGCCGCGTCGAGATGGCCTCCGCCGCGGCCCCCCGGGAGCCGCGCGCCAGGGGTCGCGCTGGCCCAGGGTCGCTGCTGCGTGCAGCCGGGCGGAGGGATGTGCCCGGGAGGCTTCCGACCCGCGAGGGTTCCTTCTCTGATGGGGGCGGCGATGAGATCCACGGTCAAACCTGAGCTGGTGTTCCACCGGTTTCCAGACCCTGGATTCCCTATCCAGGGGTGCATTGCCCAGTGCCGTCGCCGCACAAGCCACGCGCCAACGTTCTTGCTTCTGGGGCTGTCGGAGTCGGGCAGATGGGCGGATCCCTCCCAGTGCTTAGGGCCGGGGAGTGAGGCGCCCTGCCCCCTCGATAGGATGCGGCGCCGCCAGCCCGCTGTTTGCATGCTACCCCCCCCCGCTGGGGATAGCGTGCAAGGAGGAAGCGACGCGGCACGCTATCACGGGACCGATTTGCACGCTATTCCCTACATGTGGTCGACAAACGCACGCTCAACATTCGATGCTCGAATCTTCATTTTCAGGGACGCCTGCTTTCCAGAGATCGCTGTTGCCCGCTATCTTTGCGACGCGCCAGCCGTAACAGCTACCCTTGAGCCCCCGCCGGGCCTCTACCCGATGTGTGCAGGCCAGGCTGGCGGCACGCTGCGCCAAGGTGAGGTCACGCAGACCTTCGGCGAGCATGCCGCGGCACACTTGTGCTGACGGCTCACACGCGCTCATCATGATGATAGGGTTAGGTCGGGCATGTCCAGGAGGAAGATCCAGACATAGTCAAAGCATAGTCTGGGGATGACTGGTCGACCATTTTCGGTAATCGTTGGATCTTTCTGGAGTGCTGACAAGTTTTCGTCCGAAATCCGCCTGTAGGAGGGCAAGCCCGACCTGATGCTGGAGGCAAGGACCCTCAGATGCCAGAGGGAGGGGGCGAGGGAGGGACGGGGGGCGGCAGCGAGGGGGGAGCGAGCGAGCAGGCCGGGAGGGGACGGGGCGAGAACGGGGAGGCAGGGAGAGACCGGACTGAGCCAGCTGGCCGCGGGCCCGCTGTCGGCCAACGGCCAAGAGACCGGACTGGCGGCGGCAGGGCGGAAGGGAAGGCTGCTGAGAGTTCCCCAATTTCGCAGGCGCCCCAACGAGCTGAGCTCGCCGCAAGTCGTCGGCGAGCGGGCGCAGGCAAAGCCGGGCAGGACAAGGCTGACCGCGGCTGCGTATCCGTTCACGCTGCAGCACTGCGAGCGCATTTCCCCGCTGACTTTCCCGAGCATGGTTCGAGGACGGACGGCGGGACATCCCTCCTTTAATCGGCGCTCTTTTACCTGGCGATGGACCTCCGGACGGTCTTCTGGAATTGTGGTGCGGATGGCTTATCGCAGCCATCGAGCAGCAGCCGAAGGGCTAGTATCGGAGGATCATATCATTCACTGCCTGAGGGCGCATTGGCGCGCGTATCGGAATAGCATGACACAAGCTGATTGGCAGGAGTGGGAGTGGTTACACTCATGACCCGCACGTGTGCGGAATTTCACCTGACATGCGACTCTTGTTCATCTCCTTGGGCGCGTCCTGCTGGCGGGGCAAGACGGGGGGGCTGCTGCGTTGCCCTGGCCCCGATCCCGAAGCGAACGAGTTCATGGGAACAGCGGCGCACGAGATAGTGTCATTCAGCAGGGCTCTCGTGTGCGTGATACAGCTCCAGGTTGATCCATCCATCAGCTGGCATGCAGTCGTGCAGACCTTCGAGGTGGCTGGCCGCGAGAGCCGCCGCCCATCCCGCGTGCTCTGTCGAGGCAGAGGCCGCGTGTGTTTTTGTTGTGCTTGGGCCCCGCCGCGGGTGAAGCGTGTGACGACCACGTGTCATATCGGCCACGGAGGTGCACCAGGGCAGCCGACGACTGCGCTGTCTTGATGCCGGGCGTGACAGGCTATCTTGGGTGCGGCGATGCTCTGGCCAGATCGCCACCGCGGAGGAGTGGGCGTGAAGGACCACGCAGCTGCTGCACTCAGCTCTGCACGGGCAAGTTGCCGCGGAACGAGGGGAGGTAGCCTGGGTGCACAGCGGCAGCGCGTGCATGTGCGGCCTGGGGGCGCGAACGTGGCTGTCCAGGCGGCAGCCTCTGGGGCAGAGTCCGCGCCGCCTCCGCGTGGAAAACCGGCCTGTTGGGCACCCATCCGGGTACAGCACCCACGTCAAACAAGAGGGCTCGGCCTGCCAACAGACGCCCCGCAGAAGCTTCCTGTCCCTCAGTGGCCTTGGGGGCTCACAGACGCCAGGGTCGGTGGCCACACGTGAACCCTACCCCCACCCCCACGACTTCGAAGGGGGAGTGGGGGTTCACTTCGTTCGGGAGCTCCCCAGCGGACTGACCCCCCACCCCTCCTTAGAAGTCGTGGGGTGTGGGGGTAGGGTTCGCGTGTGGCCACCCAGGGGGGCTCGGGAACCTCAGCTTTTGACGAATCGTGCGCCTCAGGAAGGCTTAGATCTCGACGAAGAGCGTGTCCCACGATTTTCTTGCAGCAAGATCTCTTACCGTACGTGTCTACTGTTCCCATCGGTCGTTGAAAGTAGGTAGTTTTGGATTCCCATATTCAAATCTGCTTTAAGCGTCTTCTTACTTCAGTGATCGAGTGACTTCACCTTTTTTGGCCTCCTTAGGGGGCGGGCGGACGCCCAATCTACTTTCAACGCCTTCCTACTTCATGTTTCTACCTACTTTTGCCGACCGATCGGTCATTGGACGTATGAGTCGTCATCGGTAGCACGAGCGGTCGCCGTGTGTTTGATGCTGGTGCGGGGGCCATTGCCCCTGACTCGCCGAGGCATCGCGCGAAGTGTGCGTTCTCCTGATTTCTTTTCGAGCAGACTTGGGCAGCTGGGACATCGGTCCTCCGAGCACCGAGATAGAACAGAGCAGAGGGAGGGAGGGAGGGAGGGAGGGAACATGGGGCAGAGGAGTCCAGCCGCCGCTTCGAGGGAGGGGACTGGGAGCGAGAGAGAGAGAGAGAGAGATAGACAGAGGCAGAGACAGAGACAGAGAGAGAGAGAGACAGATACAGAGGCAGAGGCATAGACAGAAAGAGAGAGGGAGAGAGTGAGAAAGAGAGAGAGAGAGAGAGAGAGAGAGAGATAGAGATAGAGAGGGATATCTTGCGCCGCCATTTGTTCGAGACACGGCCTCCGATCTCTCGACCCTTTCCCCGAGGCCAGTCCTTCATCCAGGGCCACTTTTCACTGCCCCTGCCCGGATCAGGGAAACGGCCGATGGAAGCCGCCCCTGGGTGTCGAAAGCATCCGGCATCAATCGAGAGCTTGTGTTTCGAGCCGCAGGATCTCTGGGGAGGGAGGGGAATGGGGATATGGAGGGAAAAATGGACACAGACACAGCACACTACGATTCCCAGGGAAATATGGGAAATGGGGGGAAGAGGAAAATCCAGGAAATATGTAACAGATGGGGGATTTTGGCATTTGCACATCTTTTTGTGTGCGTCCCTGGGCCCCTTCAGGAGGGGAGAGCGCCCGATCGTGCCCTCTTCGAGACGCCTGGCCGCCTCGAGCCCTCGCCAGCTGGCTCGCGGAGCCGCTCCGGCCTCCTCTCGCTGCCTCTTCTCCGGGCCGCTCTGCCTTCATGTGCAGCGGATGGTGCGGCTGGGAACTCTTGCATAGCGGCTCTGGCCCACCGCGCTTCGGAGCGGCACGCTGTCCACTTCGCGGTCCCGAGGCGTCGTCGTCCCGAGCCCTTCCGAGCCTCCCGCCCCGCAGAGCGGAGCGGCACGCTCTCCACTCGCAAGGCACAGCGTGTCGCCGGGGCCGCCGTGGCGACACGCTCCCCAACGGTTCCCGACCGTGAAGCCTCGGGTGGCGAACAGACGGCCCCCCACGCAGTTCCGGCTGGCCTCAACAGGCCCCCCCCGAGTACTCAGCCCCAGCCGGCCTCAACAGGCCCCCCCCGAGTAGCCCGGGCGGTCTCAACACCTCCACCTCTGCGCCCCAGGGGCGCCGCCGGAGGCGACGACGGAGTCGAGACCGCTCTGGGTCGTGGGGTCTGCCCAGGCCAGCTGGACTGCCGGGGGGGGGGGGGGAGCCGTCTGTGCGCCACCCGAGGCCTTCATACTAGTAGCGGAGAGGGCGCCTGCCCACCCAGCGCGGCCCGCGCTCCGCCCGCGCAGCCCGGGCAGGCGTCCGAGCGAGTGCGCGTGGGCCCGCACCGGATCCAGACCTGGAACGACGACCTCTACGCGCAGCTGCGCGAGCGGGACGGCGTCCCAGAAGGCGGGCGCGGCCTGGGGGGCGAGGGGAGGCTTGGCAAAAGAAGAAAAGGTACCAAGACGACCGCTGCCCTTTCCTCGCTCTCGCCTTTTGGGGCCTCTTGGGAGACCCTCGTCGCCACCGCTGGATTCGCCTGGAACTCCTGGTCAGATCGCACCGCTGGAGTGGTCCTAGGAGTAGCGGTATCGGTACCTTTTGATTTCCCCAGTTTGAGGGTGAGGGCCCAGAGGTTTGGGCGCTGCATTTGTTTCACAACGGGCGTTTTCGCCGGGCTTCGGGCCCTGGGACCTTCACCGATCGTTTCGGCTCGAGATGTGTCGCAGAGAAATTGGGTCTAGTGCTCCAGTCGTGATCTTATCTCGATCCGGCATTTTCTTCGCAACGTCGGGCCTCAGGGAAGCTGTTCGGTGCTGAGCGCTGCGGGGCTGCGCTGGCTCGCTGACGCAGAGCGCCTGGCCAGCCAGGCGCTCGCGACCCGCCAGAGGATGAGGATGAGGATGAGGATGAGGATGAGGATGAGGCTGCTGCTGCTGCTTATACTGACGATGATGACGATGATGATGCTGACGATGACGATGATGATGATGATGCTGATGATGAGCATCTAGTTAAAGCTGTTGAAGATGATGATGCGCATGATTATTTTATGATGATGGTGATTCTGACGACGATGAGGATGAATGTGCTGGTGCTGATGATGTTGATGCCGATGGTGATGATGATGACGATGAGGATGATGATGATGATGAGATGATGATGTGACGATGCTGCTGCTGATGATGATTCCGCCAGGGGAGGAGGTTGGCGATGATGTTGATGATGGTGCTGTTGTTGATGACGATACTGATCATGATTCCGAGCCTGATGATGATGCTCACGATGATGGTGATGATGATGCTGCTGATGACGATGATTATGATGATGATGCTGATGCTTATGACGGCTATGATGGTGATGATGATGACGACGATGATGATGACGATGCTGTTGATGCTGCTGATGATGATGACGATGACGAGTACGATGATGATGCTGATGACGATGATGATGGTGATTATGACGATGGTGGTGGTGACGATCATTATGATGCTTATGGTGATGATGCTGATGCTGATGACGAAGCTGGTGGTGGTGTTGGTGATGATGATGCTGATCACGATGCTGCTGATTCGTACGTTGTTGATGATGATGCAGATGATGATGACGATGATGCTGCTGATGATGATGCCGCCAGAGGAGGAGGATGGTGGCGATGATGGTGATAGTGATGATTTTGTTGATGATGGGGATGCTGATCATATTCTGATTATGGTTTGGCTATGACGGCGATGACGATGATGTTGATGATGCTGGTAGTGATGCTGATTCTGATTATGATTATGATGATGCTGATGGTGATGATTATGGTTTTCATGACGAGTCTGATTATGATGATGATGGGGGTGGTGATGAGGTTGATGAGGAGGAGGAGAATGAGGTGGAGGGTTAAGAGAAGTAGGAGGAGAGGGGGAGATGTGCAGGCAGTGGAAGATTGGGGAGGGTCAACGAGAGAAAGGGATGAGGGGATGGAGGGAGGGAGGGAGGGAGAGAGGGTGGAGGCGAGGGAGGGAGGGATGAAGGGGGGAGGGAAGATGGTATGAAAGATGGGGAATTGGGAAGACGTGAGGATTGGAGGAGCGGACTATGGGAGATTGGCTATGGGTGTGGAAGTCTGGTCGTGTTTCAAACTTATCTCTTATGAATTTAATGTGTTGCACAGTGGCTTACAACCAAAAGGGCCACAAAGCAAGCACCCAGCAGTAATTCCTACCACCGAACACGCCGTACACATGCAGCAACAGTCCAAACGAGCAGCTCGAAGAGAGCCGCCCGACTCATCACTGGGGACGGAGCGTTGGCCGAAGTCTCAGTCGATCTCTCCTGCGATCCGACGTTGAGACAAAACGTGCGATATCGCGAACAGAAGCACGCACGGAGCCCTATACTTAAGTCGGGCATGTCCCTCTACAGGGGGAATATTCGACAATAGTCAAAAAATAGTACGGGGACGATTTTTGGATTATTTTTTAGTATTTGGGGGATATTTTTTGAGTACTTCTTATTTTTCGCCCAAAATCCCCCTGCAGGGGGGCACGGCTGACTTAACTCTATACCCGATCTTTCTTCGGCATGATTGCCACCGGAACGATCGGCGATGTTCCCGGGGCCCGAAGCTGGGCGACAACGCCGGTGCAACAAAAATGGCATAGCCCAGACTTTCAGGCCAGTGTTAGGTCGGGCCTGTCCCACTACACGGGGAATGCTCAAAAGTAAGAAATAGTCTGGGGACGATGTTTTGAGCATTTTTGGCTATTTCTTGGGTGTTTTTCCCCACCCAACAGGTTGGGGTTGTTAGATTTCAAGAACAGACCCCTGACCAACTCCACCCTGCATACCGCGGTCGCCAGACCCCAAGTTGTTCCGCGAATCCCCCAGTATCCCCAAGAGTCCCCGGGAATCCCGCCCCCTCGCCCGGAACCCCCGCCCCTTCCCCGAGAGTCCCTGGGAATCCCGGCTGTATACCGCGGCCGCCCGGAACCAGCCAACGTCTGCCTGCTTCTCCCCTTCTCGTCCCCTTCCGCCGGACAGCGCAGCCTGCCTGGAACCAGCGTGGCGGCATGTAGGGCTTCGGCATGTGGAGCGGCGGCGGGTCCGTCGACAGAAGCCTGGCCAGACGCCAGGCTCAGAGTTACCGCCGTTCGCACGGGAACGTGCGTGGCGCGTAATCGGCACTGGCCAGCGGGGCGTCGCATTTTTGTGCGCATCCCGGGCGTTTTCCCCCAGTTTCAGACTGTCGAACAACGACTCGGGACGACATGCCGATACCACGGCCGCCAGACCCCAAGTTTTCCCGAGAGTCCCCAAGTGTCCCCGAGAGTCCCGAGTGTCCTTGGGAGTCCCGTCTTGCGCCCTCGACAAACACGAAACAGCACAACAGTACACAACATAACATGACATAGCATAACATAGCAAAATCATGACAACATATAATATACTATAACATCACAAAATATACCAGAACATAATATCACATGGCAGAACACGACAGAACACACGCTAACATGACATAACGAATCATAGTATCACGCACCTTGACGGGACAGGTCATATCATGGCACAGTGTTCAGAACATATCGTAACACGACAACCGAGCATGGCGACGAACACGACAGAACACAACGTGCCACAATAGAAGATAACAAAACATATTACAACCATGACATAACATGACGGAACATACCATGGCAGTCCCATTGGCGGAATTTCGCAGTTGCCCGGTGGCGCAACAAACATTTTCGAGTGGCGCCCCGCCGATCTTTGACGCGGCGCGACAACGCGGGCTTGCGCGATTTCGTTGGGCTTTCACGGGCGCCCCTGGAGCCGCGCACCAAAGGTCACTCTAGCCTAGGGTCACTCTTACGTGTGGTCGGGGCCGATTCTGGGCATGAGGACCGTCAAATCACGCTTCGGGATGAAAGCCTTGCCGTGGGGAACGGGTCGAGAGGCCCAGGGGCCCACGCATCGAACATATCGAAGGGCCAGATGTCTGGGGACAGGATGGGGGCTGCAGTCGGTGTTGCGACTGCAGTGAACACTTGTATGCGGACCTGCAAGTCTGCACGAACGAGATGGGCACGGAACGAATGGGTACGATGCCCAACAGTAGTTCTTCTTCATTTTGAGCAGGACTCGCTGTCCGCGCCGCCGCGGCCTGTGTCCATTTGAGACAGAAGGCCGCCTGCCCAACAGCGGCCGCTGTTGGTTCGGGACAACATTTGCTGTTGGGCATTGTGCCCATTCTTTCCGTGCCCATTTCGGGCGTCCAAAGCAAGGGACCCGTCTGTTTGCCTGAAGCTTGCTCCAAGTTGCTGTGGTCATTGGTTCACATTGCTCGCTGCTCGGTCACGGAAGGCTCTAGGGCCAGCCCTTGGGGTAGCGATGTCGTTGGCCACAGAATTAGGTCGCCTTGCGTTAAGCTAAAGCCCTTGTTTGGGGACATTCCGCATAAGGTCGTCCAGCATTCAGAGACCTTCCTCCGCAGAGTTCGCGTGCAGTAGGACGCCATCCTTACACACGCATTTTCAAGTCGCACGCAGCGGCCTACAGGGCTTGCAGGGAAACCGCGGTCACCTTAGTGAAGCATGTGCCTCCGAGCATGCAAAAGCTTGAGCCTAAACGGCTACGGATGATGATGGTAGTGGTGGTGCTGATGATGGTGATGATGCTGCTCGTGGCCAGGCCCATCCTGGGCTTGGGATCGGGGTGCACGCCATCGGGCAGGGACGGATGCGTGCCGCGATTCTGCATGAGGACCCCTGTGCTCAAATATTCTAGGTTTGTTCAAAGATGACGCGTTGCGCCCCTAGGAGACGGCTCTGGTCACACCATGCGGAGCGATGTTCGGCACCAGCGTGCAGAAGCAAACGATCCTGAACATGCGCATGCAGAGGCAATAGAAGTCTGCTGCCCACCCACTGGGCGCCAGGGGGGTGCAGGGCACCAATAACAACTTTGCCTCTCAGGGCCGGGTTTTCATCCGTGTTCCCGCCCTGGCGCTTCTTTGGGTCGGGGCGCTAGCGGGGACACGGAGGAAACGTCGATCGCCTAGGTTATCTCGTGCGGGGAAGCTTGAGTGAGAGGCCCTGGAGGGCTTGCGATTTCATATGCAGTTCCAAGGTAAGCTGATGATCTTGCCTTGAGAACTTCATATGGATTTGTTTTCGTCGCCTCAAATATTGGTGTCAGTTCGCTGCGCTTCTGGTCCATCAGGGACTCTAGTTGCGTCGAGGCGTGCTGTGAGGGATGAGGGGGGTGTCATTGGGTACCTGCTCGTGCCTTATCTCTCCCGCTCATGGACAAGATGCCGTAGGTCAAGCTGCAATGTCTTGTTGCCATCTCTGCATCTTCTTGCAGCCGCAGGATTTCTGGAATCATTGGACATATCCAGGCAGATCTCCAAGGATCCCTGACCATGTATCTCTCTTGCCCGCTTCCAGTCTCCATCGTGCGTGCATGCCTTGTGAGATGGATTTGGTCGGGAAGAACTTTGATGGGCCCCTTGCGCCAGAGAGCGGTGAAGTCACGGCAATTGCTGGTGTCTCTCCCTAACAATTTCGCTCTCTCTGTCTCTCTCTCTCTCTTTTCTCTCTCTCACTTTCTGTCTTTCGCGCTCTCTCTCTCTCGATCTTTCTATCCCTGTATCTAACTATATATATATATATATATAGGTATGCCATGTCTATTTGTTTATATATATATATATATATATATATTTATGTACATCTTTTTTTTGTGCACACGCATATTAATACATAGTATTACATATATATATATATATATGTATATATATATGTATATATATAGGTGTGTATATATATATATATATGTATAGGTACACACGCATTTTCTCCCTGTTGTGAATTCTTCATAGCTGGGGGGGGGCGGGAAAAACCGTCACCCCCCCAAGGCCCCGGGGGCCCCCTGGACGCCCCTGCAGGAGGCACTCCAGGCTTTCCAGAGCTCCTGGACGCCCCTGCCAGGCCTAGGTAGCGGGCCCAAATCGGTCAGGAGGACTGCCGAACAGCCCCCCGAGGGCCCCAAGAGGCCCCAGACACCCACCAGACGCCCGATGACGACCCAAAGAAGACCCCCAACAGGCTTGCGAAGCGCAGAGAAACACTGATCTTATAAGGTTTTTGGGTGATTTTGAGAATGCCCCATTCTTCGGTCTTCTGGGCGTCCGAGACCGCCCAGAAGGCCCGAAAATCGCTTCAAAACTATCCGAAGGTGCTTCTATGCTGTCCACGAGAGCCCCAAGACTGCACAACAGGGTTCCAAGATAGCCGAAGAGAGCCCCATGACAGCCCAAGATCCTCCAATGTGCCCCCCGACGCATTCCAAATCGTGACCCGGTCGTTCAGGGAGACCGCGGTTGGAAGCAGGGTGGCCTTAGGAAGCCCCTAGAGGCCCCCAGAAGGCGTCCAGGAGGCTTCCAGACGGCCCCAAGGAGCCCCTAAAAATTGTCGAGGTCCCCAAGGGGTTCTCCAAGGAGGATCCTCCGCAAAAATAGCTGAGGAGGATGGGGAATAAGTCGCAGGGTAGGGCGAAACTGAGGAAGAGGGAGAGGAAACCTGAGGGAAGGATGACGAAACACATTATTATAACGGCGATGTCGGAGAACGCAGCAAAGACTTATCGCTAACCTGTCTGTTATATCTTCCACCCTTAACCTGCATTCCAAACCTCAAGGACCGCGGTGCAAGGCGTGAAGCGCCAATGCAGTTTGAGATGCGCATGTGTATATACACACATATAGAGATATATATATATATATGTATGAATGTATGTATGCACATACATGCGTGTGTATAGACATATGTGCATGTTTATGCATATGTATGTGTGTATGTAGATGTATGTGTGTATGTTCAGGTGCATGTGCACGTATGTGTACATCCATATATACACATACGTGTATATTTATATGCATGTGTCTATGCATGTGCATAGGCATATGTATGTGGATATGGGTACGTGGTCGGAGCTGTATCTGCATATACGAATGTATATGCATTTGTATCTGTATATGTACATATGTATGTCTATGAATATGCATGTGTTTATGTCCACGTAAACGTAACCGTACATGCATATGTAAATGTATATGTACATTATATGTACATATAAAGGTGCACGTAACTATACATGTATACGTTTACTTGTATATGTCTAGGTATGCGCAGATGTACACATGTATGCATGTCTGTGTAGGCGTATGTGCATACACATTTACACACGTGCATGTGTATATGCGTACGTACGTGTATCTGTATATCTAGGTGTCTACATGTTGTAATACGTGTGCGTATACGTAAATGTATATGTAGATGTACATGGGTGTATACGCACATGTAAACTTGCATATGTACGCATATGCGTATGTAGATTGTTCTGCCTATTCGCATGACTATGTACATGCGTATGTCTATGCATGTGTATGCGTATATTCGTATGCGCATGTAGTTGCACACATATACGCGATGCTATGTACGTGTATGTGCGTGTGCATGTATACGTATATACATGATTACATTTACACGTTTATGTACATGCACATGTATGTATGCATGTATTTGTACATGTACATGCGCATTTATCTGTACATGTATATGTATATGTATTTGCATATATATATGTATATGTATATGTATATGTATATGTATATGTACATGTATATGTATATGTATATGTATATGTGTATGTATATGTATAGGTATAGGTATAGGTATATGTATGTGTATATGTATGTGTCCATGTACATATATATGTATATGTTGGTGTATATGTGCAGGCATATGTACAATCATGTATGTATACATGTAGTTGTGTATGTACATGTTTACGCATCTGTATATGTGTATCGATAGAGGTATATGTGCATGTATACGTATGCATATGCATATGCACATGTATATGTATATGTGCAAGTATTCGTGTATGCAAAGGTATGTGTCTATCCATGTGTATGCATATACATCTGTGTGTATAGGTACGACTACGTACGCAAGTCTCCCCACCTTCCTCGGAATCGGGGGTGAGGAGAAGGATGCGAAGTAGGAGAAGGAGATGGAGGAGGAGCACCAGGGCCAAGAGGAGGAGGAGCAGCAGGAGGAGGAGGAAGAGGAGGAGGAGGAGGAGGAGTGAGGAGTGAGGAGTGAGGAGTGAGGAGTGGGGAGTGGGGAATGAGGAGTGAGGACTGAGGAAGGAGGGGGAGGAGGGAGAAGGGAAGGATGGGAGGCGGGACGAGGGAAGGATGGGGGAGGGAAGGGGAGGGAGGACTGATTACAGGAAAGGTCGGAAGATGATGCTTGTGATGCTGATAATGACGATGCTGCTGATGCTGGTGATGGTCATGATGATGGTGGGGATGATGATGATGAAGCTGATGATGAGTTCTAATCATGACGATGGTGGTACTGATGATGTTGATGCTGATGATGCTGCTGATGATGAATATGATGCTGTTGATGCTGATGCTGGTGATGATGATGCCGATGCTGATGCTGCTGATGATGCTGATGATGATGTTGATGCTGATGATGACGATGATGATGCTGCTGATGATACTGCTGATGCTGATGCTGCTGTTGATGATGATGCTGATGCTGATGATGATTTTAAGGATGATGACATTGATACTCACGATGATGATGATGCTGATGAAGATGATAATGCTGATGCTGGTAATGATGATGCTGATGATGATGACGATGATGATGATGATGCTGATGATGGTGACGATGCTGATGCTGATGAAGATTATTATATTGATGCAAATAATGATGATGCTGATTATGATGACGATGCTGATACTTATTATATTGATGCTGATAATGATGATGCTGATGATGATGATGATGCTGATGCTGATGATGATGACGATGCTGATGATGCTGATGATGATGCTGACGATGCTGACGATTATGATGCTGCTGATGATAATGCTGGTGGTGGTGGTGCTGATGCTGATGCTGATGCTGAGGCTGATGATGATGATGATGATGATGATGATGGTGATGATGATGATGATGATGCTGCTGTTGATGATGATGCTGATGAGTGTCATGCAACGAAGCTGGAACGGCTTCGCCAGGAACTCGTCCCCGAGCTCAGGCGTCAAGGTGGCGTCCAACTCGAGGGCACCCTCCTTTAAGAGTTGATGCGCTGAGCTGACTGCGGCTCGCTGACCCCCGCGCACGCCAATTGTCGGGGACGCGCAGACGGCAGCGGGGGGCCGGAAAGGAGGGCCTGCTGTTGAGGCTGTTCTGTCTTCTTTAAGCCTCCTCGGAAGATGTTTTGCCCTCATTGCGCTCCCGTTTGCCCAGCTGTCTCCTGCCCACCGTCGATGGCGCCGCCCGCAGTAGAACCGACTGCGCGGGAGCAGACGGACAACCCATTGAGAGGGCGCGCTCCTAGTAACCCACCTACCTTCCCGCAGTTGCGGATTCGACGAGGGGGTGCCCACGTGGAAGATGGGGGAGGAGGAGGAGGAGGCGGAGGAGGATGAGGGGAAGGAGCAGGAGGAGGAGGAGGAGGAAAAAGAGGAGGAGGAAGAGGAAGAGTTGGAGGCGGAGGAGGAGGGTGTGGAAGAGGAGGAAGAAGACGAATTCTAAGAAGACAGATATTACTAGTACTACAACAACAACAACAATTACTACTACTACTACTACTACTGCTACTACTACTACTACTACTACTACTACGACTGGAACGTACTACTAGTACTACAACAACAACTACTACTACTATTACGACGACGACTACTACTACTACTACCACTACT